AAAGAGGTCTAAATAATAGTTGGACGCTCCTAGAAGATAAATTTGTCAATTGTCACTTTTGCTTATATTTGTAAAGATAATAACTTAACCATAGTGTAGTGTAGAAAAAAAAAAAGTAGAACTGAAAATTTCTACATTAATAAATAAAAATATCGAATCGAGTCTAGACGAGCCGAATTGCACGATTTTGACTCGTTGTTTCATTTCAATTTGTTTCGGTTTGATTCTGCTTACCCCTACCTAGAGTGGTCAAATTAGATGTTATGTATCAACAGCAATAAGGTAATGGAGGAGAATGAGAATATCTTACGGTAAATAGAATTTTTCTTGCATTCGTAAATTCACTTAAAACTCAAATAGTAGTTAAGTAGTTAACACAAGCACTCGTCAGCAACTATTTTAGAATAAGTTTTGACTCTAATTGGTTGGCTCCGGAAGAGTGGATATCTGAGTTGTTCACACTATTCCGTAAGTCACAAAGAAAATCCCCAAATGATTATAATATCATTTATTCTTTTCTTTCTTAAATAAATAAATAAATAAATATCGGAATCAAACAGCGAGCAGCCATGAAGAATAAAATATTTATCATAGGGAGTGAATTTTATTTTGGTGTGGGGTCTTGGGTATGCAAGATTGATGTGCAATTCATATGTTGAGCAAAACTTTACTCTTACTCAAAATACAACTTAACCAGTTAGGAAATAAAAATAAAGTCCAATAGTATTATAATTAGCTATGATAGTGGTAGTGACAAGGGTCCTTATCACCTAAGCTGTCGTCTTCTCTGTTGACTTTAATAATTACCAAAAGTTTAAATACAAATTTGAATTCTCATTCTATAAAAACAAAAAATAAGAATTTCACATTTTCCTAGTCACAGAAAATGCAACGGAAAAAGTCAATAGTTGGGTATATTAGCACCAGCACTGCTGCCAGATAGTTCAGCTAATAATAATATAATCAGAATATTATTACAAAGAATAAATAAGAGGAATACCAGACAAATAATCATTAATATTGTATTTCTTCAGCTAATTTTTTGAGGTGATTAGGAACATTCAATGGTGTTCTGGATTTGAATATAAACAGTGGATTAGCGGCACCAAACCAACGCACTCAGCATAATAAAACCACAAGTGACGATATTAATGGGGACATCAAATCCGTACTCAATTAAGGCACATAATTTCAGATTATCGGACTTCTAACTTTAAATAATCTTTTGAGGCAGAGTATGTCCTAGACAATTTCACTAATCTATAACGTAGTTGCCTAACTGTAGGGACCATATATTGTCCGGACACAAGTCTATATCTTGGATTTGTGGTCCAAATTTTGTATGATTTGGGCTATCTAATTTTCTTAATTAGAACCCAATTTTCTAGAGCATTATTGACAATGTTGACTTGCAACAGCTTACACTTAGATACATACCTGCAATTATGTATTTTAGATATGAGTGCTTGTAGATATCGAATCAAACATCAATTGGAGAGTTCATATATGGTTTATACTTATATAGGCATGCAAAGGTATCGAACGTGGTTAATTTGGGCGCTTAAGTCAAAGCTCAGCTCGAGCTCGTATTCAGCAGACTAAAAACTTCAGCTTGTTGTATTTTATAAGTTTGATTGTTCGACGAGCCACTGAAATATAAGTTCAATTTATCCAAATACCTCAACTCAAACTAAATTCGAGTCAAAATCAAGAAAAATAATTAGTTGAATATGAATTTTTTCATCTAAATTTAAGCCGAACTCAAGTAAAATTCAAGTTGATCTCGAGTATTTCTATATGTTTACCAAGTCGTGTTCGCCGAGCTGGAGCATCATTGAAAAACCCAAATCTAATTGGGTAAGGCTAATGCTCGACTCTGTTCGATTAGTTTGGAGCTCCAGACGTAATACATGAATTGGTCTGGTCGATAGTTAAGGTTTGAATCGGATAGGGTATATTTACAAACTAGTCAACCATGATATATTGAAATGCTCGTTTGAATTAAGTGCTTGCCGAAACTTGGGACGACAAGAATTATGAGTATTAATGCCATTTAGTAGTATTGCTATCAACTCATACTCCCGGTTCTTGTATCCAAACAAAATAAGCAATTGATAAATTTTGTAAGATATTTTAGCTCGACCTTTCAACGGCACTAGTTTATTTTTTAATGAGTCCGAGCTCAAAATCAAGCTTGAATTTGAAATCTTGCAAGTTGAGTCGACAATTAATTCTTCTCGAACTGAAAATATAACTCAGGTCAACTGATAAATGTAGTGTGTGCGTGCATGAGTTTGAAACTATTTCTTAACAATCGGGTTAAGTGGTGCCTAGGCACTAGAAAATATCTGGTCTCCTTGATTTTTGTCCAGGTGATCATTCTATGTGCTCGGACGATTTGGTAGCATCAAATTAGTCATGCCTAGGTGCTCGTATTTTTTTTTTAAAAAAAATAATAATTTATTTTTAAAATAATGAAAATAATTTTTTACTTTATAATAATAATAATAATAATAATAAACAACCGATTATTCGCCATATTGAAACATAGATACAATTAAGAGCGAGCTATTTTTCTTAATGTGTTACCGGACCTAACTTAATGTTGTCAAAATCTTCTATGAATTCACATCGCATTCAGAAAAGTTCTTCAAGGTATGTTAAGTTTTTAGATCAATGCCAATGAGAGAAAGTTGGTTGAGAAGACCCAAGCACAAAACCACTTCATCCATTATTAAATACCTTAGATCCATTATAACTACTAAGAATTAGATTTTGCATAATCTTTGTATCTAAACATATCAATTGTTATATTTTATACAATATATTTTATAAATAATGTAGGGTGATAAACATAAAAAAAAAAAATTATTATTATTTTTACGACCCAACTTGACCCTAGCTTGTCGTGTGACGAGCAAGCTTGGGCCCACAATATCAAATTGCAATTGACCAAGCTTACACAAACAAACTATGTTAACTTATATAGTATAATTTTTGAAACGTTTTTCATAAATACGAACCTTTTAAAAAAATTCACTTTTACATAATGAATACATTTTTATTGTAAATTTACGAATTATTTCTTGTTTAAGCTTATTTTTAGTTATTTATAGTTTATAATACATTTATATTACCAGATCTCGTGACATAACCAAAAAAATCATGTTCATATAGCAAATATAAACTATTAATAAATGTCAAATAAACATTGAAATCTTCCACAACATAAATAAATCAAAAACATGTGAAAAAATTTCTCCCAATGACTAAGACATATTTAACCATATATATAGACATAGCCACGCCGGCCCGGGACCAGCCCGTGGTCAACAGGCCTTGAACGGAGCCTATGGTTCGACCGGGCTGATTCTAGACCACATATTTTAAGTTTTCGAATTGCCAAGCCGATTTCGAACCAGAATTGATATAGTGGCGCTTTAAAAAATAATAATAATAATAATAATAATAATAATAATAATAATAATAATAATAATAATATTTAATTTTTTTAATTTTTTTATTTGAACAAGACCGGTCCAAAACTGGCGGTTCACTGAACCGGCCCGTGCATATTTTTGATGCGGTTCTGGGCCTTATGAACCTCAGCCCGGAACTGGGAAATGACCATGTTTACATATATATAGTGAATCAGATGCCGAAATTTCGATCCCCACCTCGAATAGTCGTGTCGTCCCCGCTTGGAGCCCTAAGCTGCAGTATTATCCTTCGCTACCGCCGATCGACCATAAGAAGAGGCCAATTCAACGCCCCCGGTTGGAATTAGCTCCGAGCCCGATGTTTATGTCCAACTCTACTGGCATGCCCTACTGATTCAGTGCCTGATCGAAGGGCAGACAGCGACGATGGGCAACAAAAAGTTATTTAAGAGAAGAGTTGAGACTACCGAAAATCATCAAAAACCACCGATCTACCGCCACCGATCTTTGATTTGCAACCCTTATCCAGCATATGAACCTCCGATCACAACTCTTCCCCGATCATGGCCTTCTCAATCGGCGCCATCAAAGATCCGATGGGGTGGTCTACGNAAAAGTAAAAGGTAGGGAGTAGAATAGCATGAGATAAAAATAAAGAAGAGGGACGAAAGGAGAGAGAGAGGGAGTTGACAAATTTAATATATTTATTAAAGAATGTAAGTGAATAAAAATTTGGATTAATATAAGTAAAAATGTGTGGGGATACTTTTTTAAACAAACTAAGCAACAAGTGGGCTTATATGCTTAGATGTCTGGCTCAATTTATAGAACATGGGCCAGCTCAAGCTCTCGCTTCATTAGAGGAAGTCATATTATGTTGACAGATATATAAATGAAGGACCAATTGACGTGAAAGAAAGATGATATGTGAGCGACGACAACACAAATATTCATAAACAAACACGAGATGAAACAAGAAGTGAACAAATAAGCACCACTATACTATTGTATCTCTAACATTCTCTCCAGGTTGAGACGATTCGGATTTAAATCAAAAGGAAGATTGTTGCCAAAATAATTATAAAACCATAGATTACCATGAGACAGAAAAACACCTAATTGTCCATTTTTTTTTTTAATTTTCAATCTTAATAAATGTGATCGAAATTGTTCACCAGTCGCACCCATCAACCACCCAACCGAGCCGCACACCAATCTACCCGTTAGTTCACCAATCGCACCTTATATCCACCTAACTGGGTAGAGTGATCTAATTTTTATAAATTTGCTTCATGTGTTTTTATTTAGTTTCTATTTACTCTGTGAACCAGCTAATTTACAAAATTGTTCGGCATGCCATTTTTATAATCTTCTGTGGATATTACTGCTTTACCATAGTAAACTCAGTGGCACATTACAACATCACAATCACCAAAAACAGATCAACATTGCATGCAGAGGTATAACAGACGGATAACAAGCAAGTGCTATTCCTCTTCAAAAATTGTCTCAAAGTATAAACCTTGCATCGAATGATCGAACTGTATAATTATCACCAACTCACAACTTACTGGGTATAAGGTCATTAGTGAAAAGGCTTCTAGCCACCCCTTCTTGCGCAGTCGTATCCAGCAAGCCATTTTTCTCAGCTATGAATTTGGCAAAACGAGACCCCTTCACGCTTTTCCCATTATCCTTGTCCGAAAATTTAATCACGTGGGGTGAAGGCTCTGGTTTGGGATATAACGGTGGCATCAGGGCCCAAACAGACGAGAGGTGTTTGTTTGGTTTGTCAAGTTCTTCTAAAATCCTCCGATCCTGCATATCTGGGTAAACAAGAAAAAGTTAGGGCTTGATTGTTTATGAAATAATTTGTTCAAAATGAGTTATTTTGGTTAATCATAGTTAATCTTGGAAAAAGTAGTATGGTTAGTTGTTAGTGGAATTTTTAGAATGTATAAAAGTAATATTTAAAATAAAATGATTAAATTTGATTTGATGTAAGAGTAGGAGATAAATGATTTAAAATGATTGGAAATGATAGGTAGTTAAAATTATGTGAGTGGATGAATAGTGAATTAAAATTGATGTGATGTGTAAGAATGATTGGGTTGTATTATTAAAGATAGTGAGGTTGAGTTAAAGTTGAGTTAGATTTTGAGTATGAAATAAATGTGAGTATTTCATAAACAATCAAGCCCTTAATAATTTATCTAGTTGAAATAGTGTGAAGAGATTTTTGTCTGAAGCTGTTAAGCCAAACTAGAGTTAAAAGAGGATAGTAAGTAACCTTTGGAGAAGTTCAAAACAGGCTTAAGAGCAGCACAAGGGATGCTGAAGTTCAAATGTGGTATGACTGTTCCTCCACCATGCTTAGCGTTACTGTCGAAAACAATTCCATTCACAGCTAAGACGGATGTATTTGAAATGGATAAGATTAAAAAAGTATTTTAAATAACATCTGAGAAGCAAAAAGAATTCATAATAGCCGAATTATGTACCTTGTGACAAGGCCAATCATGCGGCCATCAGAATTAACAACAGCACCACCACTACTGCCAGGATGGACAGCAGCAGTAGTTTCCAGCATAACTGGAAACTTTTCGTCCGAATTAGGCTTTGGTGACTGAGTGGCTTCGATTACTTTAGCTATAACACCAAGGCAGGAGGATGGAAGGATGTCTGAGAAAAAAAAAAAACAAAAATT